TCCGAATGTCCAGATACTGGTATGTAAACTTCCTTGCCCTCTGGTGCAGGCTTGGTCAGAGTAGGCCGACACTTACTCGCCCCCCCTTCCCATCAGAACTGTTGATTTCTCTGGGGAAAAATACGCGAGAGCGCAATTTCGCCAGATAGTACTGACTTTTTCAGAAAATGAGAAACTGGGAGCTATTTGGCTTTTTACACCTAGCGAAATGACCAACTACAAAACGGGAAGTTTTAAACAAGAAAATACTGATTGGCTGCAGATTCTAGTTTGGTCAGCACGATAAGTAGGGAAACCTCCGATTATAAAGAAGATGCCGCTGTCCCAATTGACTGGGCAACCGAGTACTTGGATTAGATGAGCAAAAGGAATGAAGTCTGTTAAGGTAATTTTTTAGCGACTAGGAAAAAAGCGTTTCCGCTCCAGGCAAAATAAGTCCATCAGGACGACGGTGCCGAGTAGCATAAATTATGGCTAACAAACTATCGTAGAGCAATTTTCGTTTTTACAGTACTGGAGGTGGTGTCCTATGAAAGGACGCGGTATTCTGCATAAATCCTAATCATACTATTCACTTAATGTTTATAAAGCTTGCACAGTTTATGGTGCACCATATAAAAGATGGTTCTCGATGGGATTATAACTAAATGAGTTCCCAAATGAAAGTTGCAAAGCGTACAAACGGCCAGCATAATTCCCAGCAACTTTCCACTTGGCAGAAAATTGGATTTTGATTTGTGTTCTATATGGACGTTCTCGTAAACAGCACATAAAAATAAAATCTTTGATTAAGTCGGAATGATGTAACTTATTTGGTCTCGATATATGTTTATATTTCCTCATGCCTAAGCCAAAAGATGCGTAAAATGCATTTCTTATCGTCATGTTATAGAAACTTGCGTATTCGTCGAACGTCGTACAAGACGAAAGGGCATGTTTTGGTTTCTAGAAGATTTGTAATTATAAGCAGCTGTATGAGCCTCTTAGATCTTTTGTTCACAAATTATGCCATTGTGTACATATCTATTGTAGTCTCTCGTGAATAATCGGACAGGGCTCTTAGCGAACCCTCACTATTATTTTCATTCACTTTACAGGGAATATGCAGCCCTCAAGTTATAGACCTTAAAAGAAAATAATCCTTGAGGTATTGCATCGAAAATGTCGGATATTAGTAAGCTTTTCAGGGAGCGAGATTTGTCCTACCCTCGAGTGCAATCGTCACCGATTTCTCTTACGGATGGAACGCCATCATTCCATTTTCTCCCAAGTACCAGTCTGCAGCTATCGCTGCCGAAGGCAAGATGACGCGCAATCGATCACACAGACGAAACAGCAACAAAAAAGAGGGACCAAGATGGCTATTATTTAAATTTATGTCTGTCCGTTTCAGAGCCATTCTCACGTAAATCCACATGCACTGTTGACCAAATTTTAAGATTCATTGTCAAGTAAGAAATAAGTAGACTTTTGAGGTTTATTATCTTGGAGCACAATCTCAATATATTTCGGACACAGCAGGATACTGGACTTTGAAAAGAAGTCTTAACGGCCTCCTAAGCGAATCTTCTTAGACAAGAAATGACTAGCAATGTGCACTGGTTCTATTGTAGATTTCCGATGCATTCAAAATTCAAATATATCAGCTAGAAAAAAAGCAGCAAGAATATCCTCATTTGTACTCGTTAGATAGGAAATCAGGTTCCGTTCAAAATTTGTGTTCTAAGAAACGGCAATTCTGGTTTTAGAAAGTTTATGATTGAGAAATATTTTAAGGATTACAATTTCCATTCTAATCGCATCTTATCGGTACGGTTAGTAAGGCACCTCATTAAGAAGCTGCTATGATACACATCCATTGCAAAATTGCATAAGCGCTATAGGTTATTTTCTTAGTGAAATGCGGCAATTCAGAAATTTGTTTAAATACAAAAGTTATCCCTTCTCCATTTAACGAATTTAAGAAGTGGTAATTTGCTACCGAAAATGTCCTCAATAAAAAAAGACTCGAATTTATAAGAGTGTGGAATTCAACGACAAAAATGCGTGATAATTAAATAGCTATATTTAAATATCGCAGACGGTAAGAAAGAAGCTCGTCCAAATTCCGACCTACTGACGTGACTGAAATATGCTGAAGTTAGGCTGCATGAGTAGTTTGTTTATTATAAACAAAAACGCATTTTAGCTTGTTTGACATTTAACGGGATTGGAAATCTACTAACGGGATGTAGCTTGTAGATCCAGAATCCTAAACGAAAATGCCCGGCACATCGGGCTCAAAACTATTCGTGAACTAGAAAGGATTTTAAAAACCTGAAAATATCCTTCCATTGAGCATAATATTTGAAGAAGACGTTATTTCCTATTCAGTTAATACATTAAAAAATATTGTGGGATATTTTCAATAAACTATGTTTTAATTTGTAAGGGCAGTGCAAATCTTCAAAAAATGCACACTTTCTCAATAAACGTTTATTATCTGATTAGATTTTTTTCCGCAGGTAAAAGAGGTTTTCGTTCAAAATCCGGCACCCCGCACGTGTCTGAAATATTTTGTGATTTTGCTCGAAGCTACTAAATCTTACAATTCCAAGAAAGTAATCATTCCTAAACGAAAGCGAGTTTTAAAATGATGGCCAACACTGCGTGAGATCGGTCGCTGACCGCAAGTATTTTCAAGCATCATCGAGAGAACTTAGCATCCAAGACTCAGTGTTGAAAAATCTTCTTAATGCTTAATAATCAAAGAACCTGGGGCCGAACCTGGTTGACTCTAGACCTGCAGTTGTTGTACGAATATCAGTAGCGCCTAGTCTCCGAATGCACTCTTTGCTTGAAAAACACAGACTCTGCTTGACCCATATATACAGGGTGTCCCAAAAAAAATGTATACATGTTTTGAACAATTGTAACCTTCATGTTTATTATAATTTTATTATTTCAAAAAGTTAAAAGTATTTAGAAGTATCATTTTATTGTTTTTACATTGCATTTTGACTATATTTTAAATAATTGAGAAAGAGAGAGGCCACTGAACACGAATGTGCCGAAATATGAGTGGAATTGTTTTATGGTGTATACGATTCCATTACTTCGCTTTGTAAGCAATATCTGGATGAAAACGGACGTCAATTTGTGAACATCCAGTGCAAAAAAACAATAAAATGATACTTGCAAATAATTTTACATTTTTGAAATAATAAAATTACAATAAACACGAAGTTTACAATTACCTCAATGAGTATACATTTTTTTGGGACACCCTGTACATGCATTTTTGAAGCGTTGCAGGCAAGAAATGCCCTTGAGGACCTTATTAATGTAAAGTAATTATATACTTTTTGCAGTCAGTATGAAGTTGTGGACAGTTAATTTAACACACTTTCAAGTGAATTGTCGCAAAGCAATGCGAAACCAGTGTGAGAAAAAACTAGAGCCAGGAAAATGTTTACAAGACTGGCAATAAGAGACCAAGTTGTGATACACACATTTCGTTAAATATAAGGTCAAGTCTCCCTTTAAAATCACGAATGGTGTTGGCGGAAATCGCCTCGCTTGGCAGCGGGTTCCAAGGTCATACCACTCGTTGGATGAAGAAAAACTTTCTGAGGTTCGATCGAGTGCGATCTTTTTTGACCTCGTAGGGGACCACGCAGGTGAGTTTTGTTTACTAACTCGAAGAAATCCTCCAGCCTCATGGAGGACCCGTTGCCCCGGATTATCCGAAATGTCCAGTCTAGGTTAATGGGTCAAGCTTGATCAATCTCTCCTGATATGTTTAGTCCCTAAGACCATCCACCATCTTCGTCGCCCTCCGTTGCACTTGTTCAAGGAGGTCCACATTTTATTTCAACTATATTGTCCAAAATGGCATTCCGTAGTCTAGATGTAGTCTCACAGACGCGCCAAATATTCTTCCGGAGGGTTCAGGTGGACTAATTGCATTCTGAACTGATTTTTTACCTCAAATCATCAAGTTCGTAGTTTTCCATATGCCTAGATATTTGTGCGTATCTACCTATTTTAATGCGGCGCTTCTGACTGCCCGGTGTGTATTTTTCCCATTCAGAGCCAATGACACTGCTTCCGCCGCGAAACGTTCAGGTCGAACTGAACGATCGCAGACGTCTGGACTACCGAGTCACCTGGCTACCACCAGCACTTTCGCTCAACGCCGTCCAGGATAATGCCCTGACGCGCTACCGCGTAATGTGGGCCCCGCGGCAGGAGGAACCGGTGGACGCCACCACGTACAACGACAAGGCCGGCTTCAGTCCCATTTTGGACACCGCCAGATCAGACGTGCGTGTGGTTGAAAAGGTGAGTCAAGAAGTGATTGGTGGGCATGCTACGAGTACAACAAAACTCCAATATAATGAGTTCCGTTAACGATGGGATGAACATTCATCAATGAGTGTCAATATCCCTCGACCTAACTCGGCAAGACAGCGAGCTCGTGGCTCAATGGTGAGGGTGTTTGAATCTGATAAAAGAGGCCGCGAGTTCGACGCTCGGGTGGGACGCCACTTGGGTCTGGGTATGACTGGCTGGCAACGGCTAATAAGTCAGAAATGGCCATTACATTCTTCCTTCTCCTTGCCGGTAATACTCTCTGCCTATACTACCAGCTGTTACGGCTGTCAGGGCCTCTGGCCTAGCCCAAGGCAGAGCGGGACAGATATGTTCTATTAGCTGTCGGGTGATCGTTCATCAATGAGACAGATTTATTGTTTGACCGATAACGTTCAGTCAAACTTGCGAATAATAGATGGTCAGTATATTGTTCGTCTGAAAACCAAGCTAGGCGATTTATATTGGGAGGTATCAATCCGCAGTTGAAACTGTCAAAAAAAGACGCCGGTCCTGCGAGGGAGGCATCCAGTTATAAAACAGTATGCAGTAAGTGGTATTTAAAAGCGAAGAATTCAGATTGCACGTGCGTGTTGTTGAAAAGGTGGGTCAAGGTGACTGATTAGTGTTTTGGTGAGCGGATCAGCATTTCATTGGCCACGCTTGGAGTAAAAACAAAACAGACAAAATTATTTTTTGCCTGATAACGTTTAGTCGAACTTGCGAACAATAGATGGCCAATATTATTGTGATTCTGAATACCAGGCCACGGGATTTACATTAGGAAGTATCAATCCACAGTTGAATTTTTCAAAAAAGGAAGGCAGTGGGGGGGACATCTAGTTGTAGTGTAGGCTGCAGTACGCAAAGCAAAGAATTCAGAACGGAACTCGTGGCCTCGGTAGGAGTCGAATTCACACAGTAGGGATGGAATTTGTGCAGCCGACACTCTACCATTGAGCTACGAGGCTCACTTTGAGCCATGGATTTAATCACACTTGGATTGATTTTACCCGCCCAACTTGAACTTGTGAGTAGTAGATGCGAAAGACGACTAGTCAGAATTGTGACTATGAACGCCCTGCTAGGCGATTTACGCTGGGAGGTATCAATCTGCAGTTGAGTTTTTCAAAAAAGAAGGGTAGTTATGGTGAGGGCATCTAGTTGTAACGTAGGCTGAAGTACACAAAGCAAATAATCCAGATCGGATGTGCGTGTTGTAGAATAGGTGGATCGGGCTGACTGAAAATTTTGGTGGGCGGATCAGCATTTCACCACTCACGCTACGAGTACAATCAAAGCAGACAAAATCATTGTTTAGCCAATAACGTTCAGTCGAACTTGCGAATAATACACGGCCAATATTATTGTGATTCTGAATACCAAGCTACGGGATTTACATTGGAAAGTATCAATCCACAGTTGAATTTGTCAAAAAAGGAAGGCAATTACTGTGAGAGGAACATCTAGTTGTAATGCAGGCTGCAGCACGCAGTATCAGCTTAAAAGCAGAGAATTCAAAACGGATGTGCGTGTTATCGAATAGGTGGGTCAGGGTGACTGATCAGCAGTTTACTGGGTAGATCGACATTTCACTGTTCATGCTACGAGCGCGACCAAAACAGGCAAAAAATAAATGCTTGGCCGATAACTTGCAGTCTAACTTGTGAATAATAGACGGCCAGCATATTGTGACTCTGAAAACCAAGGTAAGCGACTTACTGTGGGAGGTATCAATCCGCAGTTGATTTTTTCAAAAAAGCAAGGCAGTTACTATGAGGAGGACGTCTAGTTGTAATGTAGGCTGCAGTACGTGGTATTGTTTTAAAACCAAAGGATTCAGATGGGACGTACATGCTGCTGAAAAGGTGGGCATTTAGGTGGACGGATCGGTATTTCATTGGTCATGCTAGGAGTGCGGACAAAACAGTTAAAATTACTATTTGACCGATAATGTTCAGTTGAACCTGTGAGTAGTAGATGAGAAAAACGACCAGTATATTATGACTATGAACGCCATACTATGCGACTTACATTGGGAGGTATCCATCCGCAGTTGAATTGTTAAAAAAAGAAACGTAGTTAATGTGAGGTGGGGACATCTAGTTTTAACGCAGGCTGCAGTACACAGGAGTGGTTCAAGAGGGAAGAATTCAGTGGTCTCTTCTAAGATATATGGCTATCGACGTAGCATATTCCATTAATTTTAACTATGCAAAGCGCGATGCATGCCCTTATTCCAGGGAAAATCAAACACCAAATGCGATAGTGTGTAAGATGATTGACGATCAACAGGCATCCACAAGTTGGGTGGATTATGACAACATATCACCCAAAAAAATTTCGGTAAGCATAGCTTATGCGCCTTCATCCATAAGAAGAATACGGGAAGAGAAACCCCCAAAATAGAGGCAGCTTTGCGCCAAATTCTAGGGAAATTAGTATTAAGGTGAGAGCTAAAGGTATGTTCAGGACTTCGTTTAGGGTTGAGTTTAAGGTTAGTGTTTGAGTTGGACACTGCAATCGGTGTCTTTCTTGGAAATAACTGCAAGGGCAGCTGAATTTCTAGAAGATGTTGGGTCCTTTGAGGGTCGAGTGCTCCTTTTCTCTGTAGACTTACATCAAGTCTCTAAAGCGTCACTTATTGTATTAATATTATATTTCATATGTAAGATCATTGCTCCGTGTACTGCACTGTTCCTTATGGAAAGTTCGGAGAATATATGTGCAAAGCTGGAATGAATGTGCTAGAGCCCCGTATGTTTGGTTAATCCGCTTCATTCTCCTTTATTTAGTCATGCTATTCAAGCAGGAGCCATACCGGGTTCTTCATTCCTGCAAGTAAACTTAGATTTTCATAGACCGCAAAGGAGGGTCTGTTGCGATCCTTTATTGAATGGCCAAGATGCACTGAAGCAACTAATACAGCAAAAAGTATCAGTCGCACCTAATAATTATTAGTTTTAAAGGCAACATGCATATCCGCCAAAAAAGGATACCAAAAATCTCAAAATGATACCCTAAACTTACAACAGGTCCCCTGCAACTCTTATGCGTGATCCGACTCGTGAGAAGTCGACCCAGTAGGTTTTATTCAGAAAAGAGGAAAAAATTGTAGATGAAAACTGCTGATTCCGCCCCGACTTGCTCTCTAAAATCAACCAAAACTAAATCCTCGATTAAAACTTATTGCTAGGCTGCAAGTTTTTGCGGCCGTGCATCGAACAATTTGAAAATACACAGAAACTTTTCCGCAAATTGTTATTCCAGGTTTTCGGGCTTAGCAGCCTTTTACGCACTTACGCATATTGCGCACATCAACGCGCTCGCAATTATAATGTACATTTAAAAAATTGGACTTCGTTAAATAAATATGAGCTTTTCTTAACTTCCTTAGGCCATTTTTGGTATTTTATACTGTTGAGAATTTTCTATGAACACTAGTGCTTTTCTGGACTCTTCAAGTTTTCTCTCCAGGCATGCAGTCGAGTCTATTGTCTATGCTGCCAATACACACAAGTTAGGTTACTTAATGACCTGTCAAGTTTGTCGTGATGCCTGCATGGGTATGTTAATTAGTGGGCACAACAGTAGTCGCTTTTTATATGATTGGGGAGGAGGAAAGATGCCAACAAAAGCCTCTATTTTCCACTCATAAAGGTTGACAAGAGATTTTCTCAAATGAATGCATTGGTTAGCTAGTCAATAGAACTCATTTCACCAAAAGCGAAAAAGGCCTTAAGTCAACCAAAAACTTTTCACAATGCAAGCTAACATGCGAGTTCCAGGAAGTAATTGAGAAGAAGAAGAAGACGATTCGATCCCTGGGACAACACTTATGCGCCTGACGTTTTGACCTCCGTCGCGGGTTCTTCATCAGAGAGATGGGCAAAAAATTATAGTAGAAACGGGTGATACATGTACGGGAAGTTGCAGTATTTATAGGACACCGCGTCGCTTACACCGGGGAACCAGATGGCTGAGCAGTTATCACGTCCAATTCCACCACGCATGATGCAAGTTCAGAAGGTCATGGCCCGCATAATGACCATCAAGCAATCCACGCACAAGGGGGCAGTTATCGTTGATTGTCGCTATTTGTCATACATATGCACTAATGGCTCTGTTCTATAAAAACTGCACCTTCCCGTGCATGTATCACCCGTTTCTACTACTAC